CAACATTACTTTGAGGTGGGTTTATGAGGAGAAAAATACGTGCCGGTCAATGAGCATTGATTCAAAGCAAAAACAAGATGATAAAAATAGGTTGCTCAAAAATAGGTCCATCTCAAACACTGAACTCATCTTAAATCAGCGAGAATCTTTGCGTGGGCGGTGAGGGAATAAGTATGTTGGGGGTCAATGCGCATGTTTGACGAAATATAATACCATGCGAAACACTAGAGACGTCACAGCACGGTAAAGTACCGTAGATTGCTTTCACTGTCGACTCAAACTGGCGTGTCGACCGTCTCTCTTCTCCTTCAACTGAAATCTCACTAGTGGTTTCATTCCGAAAAAAATCAACAGTCTACAGTGAGACGAACGCAAGTAAGTGTACAATTAGTAGACAAGTAGTCTAGCGACGGCCATTTCAGAATCGAACTAAACGGTTCGTACATGTATTGCTTGCCATATTCATAAACAGAGGATCGTGGGGGGAGGGGGGTGGTTTAACGTTTGCTTTCACATTAGCACTACAGGATCCATTTGGCAGTGATTTGGTGTCTGAACCGTCTCCGGCTAAACTGAAACGCCACAAACAATTATTTTTAATGTTAATCAAGGAATAATATCTTGTTCTGCGCCTTGCATTGTGTGTTTACCTTGAGGTGAAGACAACGTACAACAGAGAACTGTTTTGGGGCAATGATGCTTTGAAATAATACAGGAAGGCACTTAAAATGCATCAGGCAAAAAATGTGATTTTGTCCGGCTGACACTAAGAACATGGTGGTTCTCGTACTCATAAAAGGGCCCCTTTCTCCAATTATCTACTATAGCGTGACCAACTGATGCACCTCGCAAGAAGCTAGGAGTATAGGCTATATTATAAACATGCTTTCCCTGCATAGATTTCATTGACCGTATTAAGTGTGGGGAAGCAAGATATTTTTTCCAGCTACCCTAATTATATGGCATCGCTAGGTTACTTTAAAAGACTAATCTACCATATTTGTAGCCCGTTCCAGGCGTTCAGATAGTAAAGCGCGGAAGATAAATTCACGAAGGAAAAATGCAATGCAGTGCCAAATCCATACCCCGGCCACTCTTACCGATAGAATTTAACCAAGCTCAGTGCAAGCTGCAATGTTAGAGAGAAGAGATTGGAAATTTATACGTCGCCCCTTTCTCACCGCCCCCAAATCAAGGATGGAAAAAAAATGGCGCGTTTTGGCTTTTGCGCGGCTTTGTCCTTGAATGATCTTGATTTGGGGGATGGGGGTTTGCTCACTTCCATTCTATTCTGTCCAAGATTGTAGTCGACATTACTTTGAGGTGGGTTGTGAGGAGAAAAAATTTGTACCGGTCAATGAGCACTGAGTCAAAGCAAAAACAGGATGATAAAAATAGCTTGCTTTGACTTTAGAGTCTACTGGCGTGACGTCCATCGCAAACATTGAACGCATTAATCACTATGACCTTTGCGTAGGCGGCGAGGGAAAAAGTATGTCGGGGGTCAGCGCGCATATTTGACGAAAAATAATAACATGCGAAACACCTGGCGAGACGCTAGAGACGTCACAGCACGGTAAAGTACCTTCACTTTCGCCCGGAAGTGGCATGTCCGTCTCTTTTCTAATCACCCTCAACTGAAATCTCACTGATTTCATTCTGGAAAAAAAAATCAATAATCTACAGTTAGAAGACCCAAAAGTAAGTGTATAATTAGTAGACAAGTAGTCTAGCAACGGCCATTTCAGAATCGAACTTAACGGTTCTGCATGTGTATCGCTTGCTGATCACAAACAGAAGATCGGAGGGGGGGGGAGGTTGATGTTTGCTTTCACAGTAGCACTAAAGGATCCATATAATCCATATGGTATCTGAACCGTCTCCGGCTAAACCGAATGGCCACAAAATAAACATTAATTTTAATGTTAATCAGGGAATAATATCTTGTTCTGCGCTTTGTATTATGTGCTTGCCTCGAGGTGCAGACAAGGTACGACAGAGATAAAGGATCTGTTTTAAAATGCATTAGGCTAAAAATGTGTTATTCTGTGAAGCTGATACTAAGAACATTGTAGTACTCATAAAGGAGCCCTTTCCATGTATGTACTGCGGATATTTTGGGAAAAAAAAACACGAAAGGAATACGGTAAGCAACATGTCTTCGTTTTTCGCGGAAAGCAAGCACATGACCCCAACACTAATTAATGGTTCCAAACGTCTCTGCTACTTTTCAACCAATGATGCTAAAAACCAAAAACAAATTTAAAGTTTTCGCTGCGTCTAGGTTCAATCAAAGCACAATTCCATCCCAAATTGTTTTGTGTGAATTCCTGTTGATAGATTTACTACACCAGCGCCTGATTGTGGTCAATGAATACCCTCCCCCCCGCCCCCGTTCAGCCCCAGTGGATGAGCTGTGGAAGTCAATTTGGAATATTATAGGGTTTAGTTTCCTATAAGCAAGTTGATATTAATTTTCTTGTAAAAACATCTGTGTTGCTAAAATTCCCCATACATTCAAATGATTGTTCTTTAAAAATGGGGTTTAATACCAATCAAGTGTAAAATGGTCATATTTATTTTTGTTACCAGACATTTGATGTGCAGAGTTACGGTGGCGAGTCATCCTGCACTTGGGCACTTGAACACAGTAGACAACGAGAAGTGTAAATACGCCATGCATATAGTAGTCTGCTACACAGCCGTTTTTAGTGTCGTCACGCAACGCTCCTCTCCACTCACTAGTGGGGAGGAGCGTTGCGTGACGACACTAAAAACAGCTGTGTAGCAGACTATGCATATAGGGGTTTTGTAGTAAATACTGTGCTTGTTGTCAGCCTCTAAGTTCTTCAGAATCAAAGCAAAACGGATCAATGTTTCAGAGGCCTGGTGTAAACTTATTTGCATACACGTTAATTTTCAAATCAGCAATCTGAGGTGCGCAGATTAAAGAAATTGTAATGTCAAAATGTTTAGATTTAGGCCCGGTTCAAACGTCGAATTTCACAGGCGCCGAACTTAATGCGAGAGTTAAATGCATGCGAAGTGCGACGTTTGAATCAATTAAATCCGAATGTTTACACTTAAATTAAATGCGACTTTGCGAACTGGAACAGTCGAAGATTCGACTTAGGTTCGACTTTTGATTCAAACGTCGCATTTCACATGTGCCGAACGTTTAGTTTTGGAGATTGGGAATACTGACAGCGAATAGAGCTAAATGCCGTATTTAAATATTTTAGTCGACTAAAATAGGAAGTTCAGCACATGTGAAATTCGACGTGTGAAATGGGCCTTAAAAAGTAACGCTTTAGCGGGCGCTACAGTGCAGGCACTTTGCAATACCCTACTCCCACCCGGAAAGTAGCTTGCGTGACAGGCGTTAAAAGGGGAAGGGGAGGGGGGAATTTGGGCGCGCGTGGTCTCGCGTCCTTATTCCCTTCCCCTTCCCTTTCGAAGGCCTGCCCTGCAGGCTACCCGGAAAGCGCCCCGATGGTCTTATTTTTACAACATTTTAAATAAAAATCCTTTCCTACTTCGCACCGTAATTTTTAGGGAGTTATTATAACTCCAAAAATGGAGTAAAAATTTTAGGTACAGGATAACCCCTTTTTTGGGGTTATTTTAACTCCTAATTTAACTCCGAATTTGGGGTCATTTTTACTCCTGAAAAAGAGTTCTTTTTACTCCCAGTCTGGAGTTAAAATTACTCCGAAATGGGGTTACTTGTACTCCTTACATGGGTTGTTTTTACTCTTTTTGGAGTTAATTTAACTCTGAAAGTGGAGTAAAAATTTTAGGTACAGGATAACTCCTTTTTTGGGGTTATTTTAACTCCTCAATATCTGGGGTCACTTTTACTCCTGAAAAAGAGTTCTTTAAACTCCTTTTTGGAGTTAAAATAACTCCACGAAAAATAACTCCACTGTAAGGAGTTAAATTAGCCCCACTAGAGGAGTTATTATAACTCCCTGAAAATTACAGTGCGCCTAAATAAGTTTTAGTGACCAGCAGCTAGAGAAAAATCTCCTTTTCGGACCAGTTGTTTTTTTTTGCCAATGCGATATAGTAGATATGGCTAAAAATGAGATCTCAACACGTCTAAGAGTTAGTTAAGAGTACTGTATTTGTGTTTTATGCGCATGAAGCGAAACGATTTCAACCTTTGTTCTTGCTTTCATTTTTTTCCTTTGCCGCTCTTTCCATCTTCCACAGGCGAGCAAAGAGCCTGTTTAAAGAAGTTCGTAAAAGAAGATTTAACTCAGTTCTTCAAATTAAATCAACTCTTAAACCGCGTTCAAGCTTGTGTTTTGTATTTTGTATTTATTCTGCCACACAGAACAATTTCGTGATTAGAATCACAAAAAAATACAAAAATGTAGAAAGTAATGGCGAGGAGGCCTAAAGGAAACTATAAAGCTGATAATGTTAACTTAAGGCCTCCTCAATTACAATTTTTCAAAGACGAACTAACAATTACGGTGACGGATACAATTATTATCAAAGGAAATGAAAGTAACAAATATAAGGAAGTTTACAAAAGAAGAATATTAAACAGTTTTTTAACACGAATTTCGGCATAATTTTAATCATGTTGCCATAATTCACATGAGCGCTTAAATCATAATCCACTTCCTTATTATACGCCACTTAAAGTATCTTTGATTCTATTCTTAAAATGCAAAAACTGGAGCAAGTTTAAAAAAAGAATTTTACGTCAGTTTTTTGGCCTTCACATTTTGAGAAATAAATGTCTTCTTGTTAGCGTAGATTAAAAAGTCTGTCAAAATACTTAACCATAAGGAAAACCTGCTTTATGCTTAGTAACTGAGGCTTCACAACTGATTACATCGACCGAGTGAAGGACAATTTAGAACAACAGAAGTTATTTCGTTTAAATCATATTAAAAGATCCTGTCTTTCTTTTCCCTACAACGCTCATCAAGTCGTTTTTTAAATTCATTTTTCCAAAGGTTCCAAGCCTCAGCAGTGCCTCAAACATGGCCCTTTCAAAAGAATACACCAAAGAACAGCTGAACTACTTCAGAATTTGCTATGTAACCACTGATTTACTAGCCGAAGGCCTCAGAGAACTTTTTAAACGTGAATGGGACAATCAATACAAATCAACATCATTGGGAGAATGGAAAGATTTGGCCCAGAATGGAACGGACTTTTACAAAGGCGAGTCTCTAAGAAATCAAAGAAGAAATGCTCATCTTTTGGCCACCATGATAAACGGAAACAGAGCGGAATGGGATTGCACAATCCTGTTTTACGCCATCCTTTACTCTGATTGTGTCGGGCCCTACCTTGCATCAACAGTCAGAAACAATGTGGATAATCTTAGAAAATTTAGAAACGAGGAATTCGCCCACATATCACAGGGAAGTTTCCGTGAGATGGATTTTCAGAATGCTATTGGAAAAGTTCATGTAGCGTTTAATGCACTTGGTCTCTCTACTGTAAAAATTGATGAGATAAAAAATCAGAAAACTTTCCCAACCGACGAGTTACATAAAATTCTGAAAGAGGTTGACGATGTTAAACAAGATCTTCAAGAAAAAGAGAACCAGCGCCAGGTTCTTGAAGAGCAGCTTCAGAAAGAAGCGCCGTCATTCTGTATTCTCCCTGCTAAACCTACACACGAAATTGAAAGCCGTGAAAGTGAAGTAGCACAAATAGCCCATCAGCTAAGGGAACTAAAGAAGGCCAATGAGAAAAGGTTGAGTTATCTGTACATCTCAGGGAATCCAGGAAGTGGCAAATCACAACTATCTGGCCTCGTAGCTGAAAGATTCTTTGATGAAGTAAAAGAAATACCAGGCACTTCGTCCTTTGTGATGACCATAAACGCTGCCAGTCAAGATTCACTTTTGGAATCATATGCCAATTTTGCTCGTCAGTTAAAGTGCCCAGAATTTTCAGTGATGAAAACCTTGAGCTCCAAGGATTGTAACATTGAAGACAAGATTACCAATCTCAAGATGCTTATTGCTGCAAAAATTGGGTGTTACACGTCGTGGCTAATGGTGGTGGACAATGTGACTAAACTGACTGTAGTACATGATTACCTACCACAGTCTGGAACCGAGACGTGGGCAAGAGGTCAGTTGTTAATTACAACCCAGGATACAAAATCCATCCCGTTAAAAAGCTCTTTCATCAATCACATTTCAGTAAGCCAAGGAATGAATCCTTACGATGCCACTTCCTTATTGGCCAAGCTTTCTGGGGTCTTCGACAAAGAGCTAGCGGAAAACGTTGCCCAGAAATTGGACTATCAGCCACTCGCTTTAGCAGGCGCGGCTTTGTTTGTCAAAGACATTCGACAGGACGAAGCATCGAAGCACTTTGGCTGGGACGAATACCTAAAGATTTTACAAAAAGGAAAACGAGAAACGACCGAGGATACCCTTGCTGATACCAACCCAATTTATCCAAATACGATGACTACAGCAATAACGTTAGCTGTCGAAGCACAAGTTAAATCCGACAAGTTTTTCGAACACCTATTCAGATTTCTTTCTCTGTGCGCACCACAACCATTAAACGTTGACATAGCGGTTAGTTACCTTATAAACGTTCTCGAACACGATGACAAAGAGGACAAGGAACACATTCGCAGGAGATTCGGAAGATGTTCACTGCTTCTTTTAGAGGAAGACGAAGATGGTTGCTACTACATTCGTGTACATCAGGTTGTGCACGACGCAATGAAATGGGTGATGAGTGACTGTACAGAGAATCAAACGATCAAGGTTGTAAGTGAAGCTGTTACATCATTTAACAAATTTATAGTCACAATTCCACACGAAAATAGAACAATGGACACTATGTACATCATTCCGCACTTACGTGCCCTTATTATACCAATTAATACAGTTATTATAATTACGACAGAAAATATGTGTCAAGTCCATGTTCAGGACATTTCTGAAAAATTGTCGAATCTTGGCAAGATATGTAAAATGCATTGTGAATTTAACTTGGCAAAGACATACTTGGAAAATTCTCTAGCTGTTTGTATCAGGCGGTTGGGTGACCAAAATGTCGATGTTGCATCCGGGTACAATGACTTAGCTTTAATTCACGAGGACTTAGGTGACCTTGAACAAGCAAAGGAGTATCATCAACGTGGTTTAGCCATCAAACTCAAGAAGCTTGGTGCTGAACATGTTTCTGTTGCAGCAAGCTACGGTAACCTAGCTTCAATTCACAAGGCCTTATGTGACCTTGAACAAGCAAAGGAGTATCAGCAACGTGGTTTAGCCATCGACCTCAAGGAGCTTGGTGCTGAACATGTTTCTGTTGCAACAAGCTACAGTAACCTAGCTTCAATTCACGCGGACTTAGGTGACCTTGAACAAGCAAAGGAGTATCAGCAGCGTGGTTTAGCCATCTTTCTCAAGAAGCTTGGTGCTGAACATGTTTCTGTTGCAACAAGCTAC